TTTTTTTTTTTTTTTTTTTTGGTACCAGGGATTAAACTCAGGACCTTGCGCTTGTGAGGCAGGCAGTGGCACCACTGAGCTAAATCCCTGGCCCTCAGTTAAGCTATTTTTAAAATCCCTAAGCTAAGAAAATAATCCTTTTCTCTTTATCTTTGACATTCATCATTCAGGAAACTTTTGACTCCCTCTTGTGTACCAGGCCTACCACTGGCTGCTGTTAATACAGTGATGCTTGAGATAGTTTCTTAGACATACCCCTTTTTCTGTTTTCTAACTTTGTTGTTTGAATGTTAATCATTTCATTGTTTTGTAGGTGATGAAAGAACTATGGTCTTTGTTGAAACTAAGAAAAAAGCGGATTTTATTGCAACTTTTCTTTGTCAAGAAAAAGTATCGACTACAAGTATTCATGGGTACGTAAATTAATATGTTTCCTAGTACAAGAATGACTTTTGTTTGACATTAAAGAAACAGTATATAGAAAGTCATGCACCTCAATGTGTTGGTCAGTGACAGATGGCATATATAGCAGTAGCCACTAAAATTATATCATCTGGTGATATCACAGCCAACTTAGTTTTTGTAAGTGATACAGTATAAACACATTCTATGGTGTCTATTACACAGTGGTGAAATAACTTAGACATATTTTTCAGAACATGTCTCCTTTATGACTATAACTAGTATGATACAATCCTAGGATTCAGATTTAGAATTCTCTCAAGATCTCAACTATTATTCTTAATATTTTTCTCTTTTTGCCCCATTAAAGTGCACCACATAGGAGGCTTAACTTATTTTTTATCTTCATTCTTAGTTTTTGTAGGAAGTAAATGGTGAGCATGGTCCATGTTGAAGTCTGTCTGTGTTAGGCTTCTTATTATGAAGAATGGGAATGTCTCAAGAAATTTCACTTAAGGATCTCTAGTCTAAGTATTTCCTCTGTTGACTCTAATCTAATGCGTGACATTTTTTGTTTGTTGTGTGTGTGTATTGTGTATGTGTGTTTGAGGGTGCTTAAAATGTCATATCAAACCAACTGTATTGGTACTTTATTAGTGGATCTAAATTGTCACTGAGTATTTAGAACTCTGAAATTGTACTTCACAAACTAAATTTTCTTTTATGAGCAAGTATTCTAACAAAGTATTGTATATTTTTATCAAAGAGATTATGAATAGGTAGGATTTGACCTTTGTTATGCTTGATATCTGTATATTAGCTGTTATCTTACATTATTTGCAAATAGGGTTAAATGTTCTAACTCAGTATTGTAAAGATAAAATTGGGGCTTAGATGGGATTGGTGTAGTGCCTGGTATGTAAGGAGTAGATACTAATACTAAGTTCTGCTGTTTTTATTATTTAAAATTTGTATATTGAACTTTAGTGATTTTTTTAAAAGTAGTCCTAATAAAAGCTTCCTTTTCTTTTAAGTGACCGGGAACAGAGAGAGAGAGAGCAAGCCCTTGGAGATTTTCGCTGTGGAAAGTGCCCAGTTCTTGTTGCTACTTCAGTAGCTGCCAGAGGGCTGGATATTGAAAATGTCCAACATGTTATCAATTTTGATCTTCCTTCCACCATTGATGAATATGTTCATCGAATTGGGCGTACTGGGCGTTGTGGGAATACTGGAAGAGCTATTTCTTTTTTTGATCCTGAATCAGATAATCATTTAGCACAGCCACTAGTGAAAGTACTGTCAGATGTAAGTTTTAGTATCATTTAAAAAAATTTTTGGTAGTGCTGGAGATAAAATCCAGGGCCTTATTTATGCTAGGTGAGCACTCCATTACTGAACTATAATCCCAGACACCCAGATAAATGTTTAAAAATTGTAAAATTAAATGGATAGTGTTCTTTCTTTGTTGAGATGTTTTATGCATACCTATAAAAAGTAAACTTTTTCAGCCTTTTGAGACTTAGTATCACATATGAATTTTTTAAAGGCTCAACAGGATGTTCCTTCATGGTTGGAAGAAATTGCCTTTAGTACATACGTTCCTGGTTTCAGTGGTAGTACAAGAGGAACTGTGTTTGCCTCAGTCGATACTAGAAAGGTTAGTTGAAGGGAAAAACTTTAGAGCTTGACTTTGAGTTAAAATGTGATTGATGTGGTTCACTATAGCATTCAGTAATTAAACTATTATTTTCATGTCTATAAGCTAAATTATAAAATTTTATGTGTATATATATTTTTGGGTTTTAATGACAAGGAATTAACTTTGTTATAGTCTGTCATCTTCCCTTCCTGAGTTTATTGGTTATTTTAAATCCTAATTTGGGATCTGTGCTTTCTTAAGACTTTTAATTTTTTAATAAAAAATTTTTTACTACATTAAGACAAAATACTAGGGCTATAGGACTGCAAGTCTTTATGTTTTTATGCAGTGAGCATACAAATTAAATATTTATGCTTATTTGTCAAAGTGTAACATTAAATTTTTCCTCTTGGCAAAAGCAGTAGCTTAAAAATCTTGAATTTTTTTTTGACGCTTTAGATTTCCAATTTGATATGGGCCTTTTTGTCAAGTGAATCAGATTTAGTGAGAATGAAGGTCTAAGTATGTTTGGGGTATAGAAGGTGGAAAGCTTGAGCCCTTGTTTTCAAACTGGGAAATATAACTTTAAAGTTGCCATAACCTAAATTTTTCTTTTCTTTTTAAGAATTACAAGGGCAAGAGCACTTTGAATACAGCAGGATTTTCTTCACAAGCTCCCAATCCAGTTGATGAAGAGTCATGGGATTAAAACTAAAAAAAACATGCTTCAAGTTTATGGTACAGTTTTGATGCAGAGAAGACCATAGTTTTGATTTTTAAATTTTAAATGGAAGTGTGAAACCTGACATTCTTGTATCTCCTGTTATTCTGTTCTCCCACCCTTAAAAAAAATCTTATTGACTAGTTAGGCAAAATGCTAAAAGTTAGAATGTTGCAGTTACTGATACAAATGGTGTTAACTGGAAATATTAAAGCATTCTAAATGTCTTGATTATTTCTAGAATATTCAGGCGATTTAGACAAGTTGCATGTCTAAGTGCTGTCTTAGTATGTTTATTGTTTCTATTAAAACAGTAAGATACGATATGCATTTGCTTACAAATTGGGTCTCAGTTCTACTTGAGCCTTTAAAGTAATAGTGTATAACTATAATGTGATAACACTATAATGTGATTTTTATGAAACAGTGGAAAACTGAAGCCTTTCAGGGTGATTTTGAGTTTAGATCATTAAATGTGTGTTGCAGATGGTTAAATGTTTGCAACATGAGCCCTGTACTCAATGGCATAACAGTTTTTTTTTTTTTGGTATTATGCACTTTCCTTGGAAATAAAAGATGAAACACATTTTTTCCCTAATTTTCCAGTTGCATGTTTCATTTTTTGTTACATATCACAGTTCTCAACTCTTACATTTTGAAACTTTCATTGTGTCTTGTGAAACCAATGCAGAGAATAAAGTCTTACACAAATATTAATGTATAATCATACTACACAGGTGTGGTAATGAAAATCAGTCTTCATACTCAAACCTAGTTAATAAAAAATGCTGTTCACTCTTGCCATAATTCTGATTCATATTTTAAAATTGATGAGAAAACCCCTGCTTTTTTGTTCACCATTGTATAGCTTGAACTTACTATGCCCAGAATATAAGTTGTTAAATGAATGACCTCAAACATTGACATGAAACAAGTGAAATGTAAATATTGAGACAAAAAAGATTAGTTTTTCACTATCCATCTAACAGTCTCAAGTAACAAGTCTCTGGTGTGTATCTTGGTATATGAATTTAGTTAATAAAGTGTCACTTATACAAAAGGAAAGAATATTCAACAGATAGTGTTAGAATAATTGCTTAGGTGCCTGCCTGTGCCATACTCAATATTAGTTCCATGTGAACTGTGAAAAATTCAGACTATAAAATACAGTGTTAAGAACTTCTGAATTGGGGATAAAGGTTGACTTTAAGGACAACTAAGGACAGAAATCACAAAGGAAAAAACAGATTTGAATAAAAGGGAATATATATGTGTGTGTGTGTGTGTGTGTGTGTGTGTGTGTATATATATATATATAAATGAAAAGTAGACAGAAAAAGTACTGTGACTGCAGTTGATTATCAGTGTGTAGTTCTTTATATGTGAATGTGTAGATATACCGATAGACAAATGCACAAAGAACATAAACAGCCCACTCAGGGAAATTCAGTAAAAGTCTTGGAAATATTTGACTCTAATCAGTCTGGGAAAGACTGAAAATGTTTACATTATTATTTATAATATCTGTATTTTCTTTTCTTTTAAAATTTGTATTACTTACAAAGCATTTATAGTTCATTGCTTTTTTTTTTCTTTCTTTCTTTCTTTTACTTAAAGCTCCTTGGTCATAGCTGTCCTGATTGCTCTTTTTGCTCTTTTGGTACAGGGGGTTGAACTCAGGATCTTGTGCTTGTAAGGCAGGCAGCAGAATCACTGAGCTAAATCCCCAACCCCTAATTGCTTTTTTAAAATTTTATTGAGTTTATTGGTACAATCTAGGTCTGCAATACAGTTACATTCATTACTGGGATCTTGTACCTTCGCATGACAGGTCTTGGTTCTCATTTTTTCCCCTTGTCCCTGTCTTCCCTTCACCCCCCTCCCCTAATTGCTTTTTAAGTTTTCTATTTTACTTCATTTGTCAGATTACCATCAAATTGCTATGTCAATATAGAGATGGAAAAAATCATGTGTAATCCTAACACTGTTATAGACTAACTGAAGATATATGTTCAGTTAGTTGCCCATTTCTAGATACAGGTTTGAATGATTTATTTAAAAATTATCAAAGTAACATATATCTAAGATTAGAAAACATAATCCTAGAAATGTTTATAATAGAAAGGAATATTTTTTGCCCCTTCTTTTCCAAATTGCCATCCCACATCCTATAATCAACTACCTTGAGCTACTCCTAGCTATTTCTATCATATATGTTGTACATTTTTGTCTGCCATGTGTAGGCATATATTACTAACTTTCTGTTTGGTAGATAAAGATTTAAATTACCTCTCTTTAACTCACCTTAGAAGTATACTTTGTGAGATGATATTAGAAGTACCTTTTTTCTTCCATTTCTTTTTACATTGTAACATCTGTAAATTATACATTTACTATTCCAAACTTAACATTTGCATTTTGGCTTATAACCATAAAGTGTCTCATTTTATCTATAGATTGATTTTAAAAGTGATACTCAGTAACCAACATTTACATATGTTTATGTAAATATTCACTGGATGATAGGCCAGTTAAATCCTTTGTTATCTTTCCCTTTCTGACGTGTGTGTATGTGTGTATGTGTGTATTTTCCATAACTGTTGAATCATTTACCTTTCTTTATATACCTTTCTTTAATTTTTTTTTTTTTTTTTTTTTTTTTTTTTTTTTTTTTTTTTTTTTTTTTTTTTTTTTTTTTTTTTTTTTTTTTTTTTTTTGCTTATGTTCTGGTAGGTTTTTTTTTCCCCTGTACTGGGGATTAGTCCCAGGGGAACTCTCCCCAGCCCTTTTTATATTTTGATAGCGTCTTGCCAAGGTACCCAGGTTGGCCTTGAACTTGCTCCTTCCTCAGCCTTGCAAGTAGCTGGATTTACAGGGATGTGCCACCATGTCCAGCATTTTACTTCAGTATTTTTTAAAAAGACATTTTAATGTTTAAGGGCTTACTCCCCCCAAAATGTTTATTAGTGTATGTATTTTCTGTTTCATTAGTACTTATCTCATGAAATTTAACCTAAGAAATAAGTGTTTCACACTGAGCATCTTCCCCCTGCTGCTTAGCTTCAGGAATCTTAAGTCTTCATCATTTTATAAATTTTATATATATTTAATGTAAGTCAGGGTTCTCTTTAGTCAAATTCAGCGATCTGTCCCATGTTTGTATCTTTCCTTTCATATCTCAGTGTAGTGTAATTGTATTTCTCTAATTGTATTCAAAGTACCCTCAACAGAAAGCAGAAGATCAGATAGGACCGGTAAGGTTAATTTTTCTTCCTGAATCCTTGCATTGTAGTAGGAGCAAAAGAATGGTCCAAACTGTGCAACTCAGAATGTGGAGTAGGAAGCATCAATGATATATAACAATGATATATATATCATTGATATATAACACTTTCAGAATAATGGTGCTACAGTAGGGAGCAAAGATAAGGTATGGATCTGCTTTGACATAGGGTTGATAATCTACCTATTCTACCTGTCCCTGGGGCTTGGAGGTGATTTTAGAGGTGGTTTACCGGACTTTAGTGTTACACATGGGATGAGTTTCTATGTAGGGGAGCAGTACGGGTGAGTTTATCCTTTCCCCTTTTCCTGTAACTTCACACTTGAGCAGTTGCCTCCGTTGCCCGTATTTGGGTGACAGCACCTTTTCATTGTTTTGCTATGGTCTTGATTTTTAAGCGTATTAAAAAGGGTACTTGCTTTACTCTTTTGAAGCATTTGAAGATCCTTTTAAAACTTCAGTGACTTGCTAAGTATTGTTTATGCTGTGTCCAACTTGAGATGCTCCCGCATCAGAATGAGCCACGTTTTCATTAGTTTCTCTTAGTACAAATTAGTCCGGAATGGAGTCTCCCAAATCCCTCTGGTTGTGAGAATATAGCCAGGAAACAGCAAAGCCTGGGCAGCCTTGCTTGCTGCCGGGTTCTGAAACTACCCTTGGAGCTGCCGTCCTGAGAAGCTGTTTCCGCTCGGGTCCGGGGCTCCCTAAGGCGGTGCTCAAGGACGACTGTGACCCAGTGGTCCTTCCGAACTCACAGACCTGGCCGCAGGAGCCGTCTCTCGGGTTCCTGAGTGACAGCAGGAGACTGAGCAGGCAGGATCTGGAGGATTGAGATGCTGCGAAAGAGTTCACGCAGCGGGAGTTTAGGCTGATTGCATCCAGGTGAGTGGCGCTGGGTGTAGTGGGGAGGGCGGCGGAGGAGGGCTGGCGCCACCAGTCTGGTTTTGTTTGTTGCGGGGTTCTCTTTTTAGAATTGCGGTTCCTGATACTTTTGTCTAACATATAGACTCAAATTTTACATTTAAAATATCAGCTAATTAGTCTCTCCAACAGACGAACAGACCCATACAGAGTCTCAGAACTACAAATTAAGACGTCCCTGCTCTGGAAATAGATGGTGCTGTGAAGGAGGACTCTCATGTTAAGAGAGGACACGAACAACAAGGTATCTGGAGACACGCCGGAAAATGAATAAATGAGATTTGTACAGAGTTTGAGAGTCCGCACCTTAAGTGAATTCTTAAATGTTATGTATATTTTTCTGTTCGTACATGTTGCAGTACATACTGATTACATTCCTCGTGGGGAGCTTGGTGCATGTACATAACTTCTTGATTCTCCTTACTCTTTCCACCTCCCACCCCACGCCTTCCATCTTTTGGTTCCTTCTCCCCCTTTTTAAAAATACATTTTGTATTAGTACATGTTTGTAATATATAATGATTACATTTATCGTGGGAATGTACATGTACATGTACATCAGGCATCTTCATTTTCAACCCTCCCAGCTCCCTCCAACTCTTGTTCCCCTTCCCACTTGGAAAAACTATACCTACTTTTTTTGGTCGAATTTTTCTTCATACCCTTTCCCTCTTCGTTCCCTTCCCTCCATCACTCTTGTTCCCCCTCCCTATTTTCTATTCATCCTCAACCTTGCTTCCTCTTATGTTGGGGGGGATTCTCATAGAAGAGAAACCATGAGAGATTTAAGCTTGTGTGTTTGATTATGGTCTCAAGGTGAATCCATTTATTACAGATGCCTCAGATTTATCTTTATATGACAGTAGTGAGTACTCTGTTGTGTATATACCACATTTTCTCTATCTGCTGATCTTTCGATGGCATATAGGCCATTTCCAAGATTTAGCTATTATAAATTATGCTGCTATAAACTGAGGTGTGCAGTATCACTGTAATATAACTCGGGAAGATACCTAGAAGAAGACCTGGGTCAAGTGGAATTTCTAGGTTAGCTTTTTGAGGTGTCTCCATACTGATTTCCATAGTGATTGTACTAATTTACGTTCCTACCAATGGTGTAAAAGTGTTCTTCCTTTTCCTCATAGCTTTGCCAGCACTTGCCATTATTTGATTTCTTGATGATATCATAATTTCTGGAGTAAGGTGGTATCTCAGTGTTGTTTTAATTGGCCAGAAATATTTAGCATTTTAAAATCTATTGGCCATTTGTACTACTACTTCTGAGAAGTGTGTGTTTATATCAGTTGCCCATTTTCTGATTGGGTCTTTTATTTTGAGGGGGCTAACTTTTTGAATTCATTATATATTCTAGA